TCAAACTGGTGCCCATATGGGATGCTGGCACTACAGGCAGTGGCTTTTCCCACTACACCACAGCGCCAGCCCCAGTGTTAATTTTTAAAAATCAATTAATTACTTTGAAACGCAGAGGGACAAAAGATTATCCATCACTGGTTCACTCCCCAAGGCCCACAACAGCTAGGGCAATGTCAAGCCAAAGTCTGGAGCTGTGAACTCAATCCAAGTCTCCCACTTATGTGACAGGGACTCAACTATTAGAGCCATCACAGACTTCTCCCAGGGTGCATTAGCAGGAAGCTAGAATTGGAAGTTGAGCTGGTACTCAAACAGGCACTACAGTATAAGGTGCAGGCATCCCACATAGCATGTTAACCACTCTGCCAAATGCTTGCCCCAGTTCAGAAATTTTTACATTTTTTAAGTCTTTTTTTTTAAGACCTATTTTTTATTAATTTGAAAGGCAGAGTTAGAGGAGGAGAAACAAACAGATTTTCCTTCTGCTGGTTCTTTCCCCATATGGCTACAACAACTGGGGCCAGGCCAGGCTGAAGTGAGCCAGGAGCTTCATCTGGGTCTCCCATGTGGGTGCAGGAGCCCAAGTACTTTGGCCATCTTCCTCTGCTTTCACAAGCGCATTAGCAGGGAGATGGATCAGAAGTGGAACATCTGGTCTCTAACCAGTGTCCAAATGGGGTGCTAACATCACAAGTAGAGACTTAACCTGCTATGCCACACTGCTGGCCCCCTGTCCAGATTCTTATTGGTACCCTACAAAGGTTTTTAGTTTTAAGTTATTCTGAACTGTCACATTAATGCAACAACCAGAAACTTCCACAAAGTAGGATGCCACACAGATAATTGCCAATTTGGATCAGTATAATTTTTTAAAGATTTATTTCTTTATTTGAATGTCAGAGTTAGAGAAGGAGAAGCAGAAAGAGAGGGGAGAGAGATCTTCTATCCACTGGTTCATTCCCCAATTAGCCACAACAACTGGAGCTGCACCAATCTGGAGCCAGGAGCTTCTTCTGTGTTTCCCACACAGGTGCAGAGGCCCTCCTTGGGCCATCTTCTACTGTTTTCCCAGGCCATAGCACAAAGCAAGGTTGGAAGTGGAGTAGCTGGGACTCGAACCAGTGCTCAAATGGGATGCTGACACTGTGGGCGGCGGCTTTACCTGCTTTGCCACAACACCAGCCCCAGCATTTTATTTATTTATTTATTTATTTTGTTTTGTTTTATTTTATTTTATTTGAAAGAGAGAGAGCCAGAGAGAAAGAGAGGTCTTCCATTTTGCTGGTTCACTCCCCAAATGACAGCTCTGTCCAGATTGAGCTGATCCGAAGCCAGGAGCCAGGAGCTTCCTCCTGGTCTCCCACATGGGTACAGGGGCCCAAAGAATTGGGCTATCTACTGTTTTCCCAGGACATAGAAGAGAGCTGGATCAGAAGAGGAGCAGCCAAGACTTGAACTGGTGCCCATATGGGATGCCAGCGCTGCAGGTTGGGGCTTTAACACGCTGTGCCACAGCGCCCGCCCCTAGGATATATTTTATTTATATACACACACACACACACACACACATACATACACACATACACCTTTTACATATGAAAGGTACTGATTTAGACATATATAGAGATATATATAATATACATATATTTTATATATATATATATACACACACACACACACCTTTTACATGTAAAAGGTACTGATTTAGTAGCTCTAGCAGACCTGCTAATTGTACCAGTGTTTCAGGTACTGAGTTTTAGAAGTGAAAATCAAATCCATAAAAGTATTCAATTATTCTGGTTGGTTATTTTCAAGTGGTGTCGGTTGCTTACTTACTTTTTTTTTTTTTTTAAGATTTATTTTCATCTATTTGAAAGATAGAGTTACGGAGAGAGGTAGAGACAGAGAGGTCTTCCATCCGCTGGTTCACTCCCCAGATGGCCGCAATGGCCGGAGCTGCGCCGATCTGAAGCCAGGAGCTTCTTCCTGGTCTCCCACGTGGGTGCAGGGGCCCAAGGACTTGAGCCATCCTCCGCTGCTTTCCCAGGCCATAGCAGAGAGCTGGATCAGAAGAGGAGCGTCCAGAACTGAAACCGGCGCCCATTAGGGATGCCGGCGCTTCAGGCCAGGGATTAACCCACTGCACCACAGCGCCAGCCCTGGTTGCTTACTTTTCTGTACTCCTCCTGACATGTAAGTGCCAGCAGCTAGGAGGGGAACATACCCAGTGACTTCACAGTCTGGGGTTACAACTTTTCCCTAGATTTTGTACTTAAGTTTTCGCCAGCAGATTAATAGTGATTTTTACTACATAGATTGACTTTTTCAATTTAGTAGTAGTCTGTAATCTCCTCACTAATATAACCAGGCTTCATTTTATTGCCCTTTCATACACTCCGATTATTGGGGTGGAAATATGAAAATTGCTCACCTGTTACTGAGCACCGGGTTGCATCAGTCAAGATAGATGTTTGCACATGCCACCTAGGCTTTTGCTCTCTCACCCTTTTGGCAGAACAAATGCTGTGATTTCTAGCGATTATCTCTTCTAATCTGGTTTTTCAACATTTTCTTGTTAACTTTATTCTATTCCTATTTTCTGAGTGCATGGTGTGTGCTGTTTTCTTGAATGTTTCCCTTATGTATATTGATTAATGTTTTGAAAAATTTTATTTATGGCACTGGGATTATGGCTCAGTGGGTTAAGTCACTGCTTGCAGCACTGGCATTCCATATTGGAGCGCTAAATTCACCTTCCTGCTAATGTGCCTGGGAAGGCAGTGGAAAGTGGAAGATGGCCCAAATATTTGGGTCCCTGCACGCAGATGAGAGACCACATGGCGTTCCAGGTTCCTGCCTTCAACCTGGCCCAGCTCTGACTATTGTGGCCATTTGGGGAGTGGACTATAGGTGGAACGTTGATCTCCACATACCCCCTCATCATTTGCCTTTCAAATAAGTAAATAAATCTTAAATTAAATTTTTTTGTTTTATTTGAATATCACAAATACAAACATGTATGAGATAGATCTCTCATATTCTAGTTCACTCCCCAAATGCCTACAATAGCCAGGACTGGGCTAGACAGAAGCCAGGAAGTCCATCCAGAACTCCCATGTCAGTGGCAGGGACCCAGCTACTTGAGCCATCAGCACTGCCTCTCAGGGTGTACATTAACGTGAAGCTGTAATCACAATTAGAGCCTACAGCCACTCCCATTTGGATTCTTAATATTTTAGCAAGTTGATTGCCCTACCCTCCCATAATTAGACTTTGAATTGTTGCCCTTGAACAAGTAGAGTATATTTAAGGCAAAGAAAACTGAGACAGATAAGAAACCAGGGAAAGAAGAGTAAACCATGTAAGTAAGTTCAGGGGTGGTGAAGAGACTGAGGGAGAGTTAGGGCTGCCTTTGCAGCAAACCTTTGGTTATAACCACTCCTGCCATCATTGCTTTTATTTCTAATGTATCCTTTGTGGAAAAAGCCTAGAAAATGTATAGACATTTAACTTACAGGTATTTTTCTGTGGATAACTTTTTTTAAAAAAAGATTTTATTTATTTACTCATTTGAGAGAGTAGTGCAGAGAGAGAGAGACAGAGAGAAAGGTCTTCCATCCGCTGGTTCACTCCTCAAGTGGCTGCAACAGTCAGAGCTGGGCTGATCTGAATCCAGGAGCTAGGAACCAGAAGCTTCCTCTGAGTCTCCCACCTGGGTGCAGGGGCCCAAGCACTTGGGCCCAACCAGCACCCATGTGGCATGCCAGCACCGTAGGTGGAGGCTTAGCCTACTACGCCACAGCACTTGCCCAGATAACTGACTTTTAATTCTGCATTTTTGTATTCCCATAAGTGTTTTTATTGTCACAACTTTATAGCCGTTTTCTAAAATAGGGTGATTTGTGACTAATTTCTGTGCTTTTTTTCCCCCCAAGATTTATTTTATTTATTTGACAGAGTTAGGGAGAGACAGAGATCTTCCATCCATTGGTTTACTCCCTAAATGGCTGCAATGTTCATGGCTGGGCCAGGCCAAAGCCAGGGGCCATGCACTTGGGCCATCCTCCGCTGCTTTCCCAGGTGTATAACAGGGAGCTGGATTAGGAGTGGAGCAGCCAGGACTTGAACTGGCGCCCATATGGGATGTCAGCATCACAGATGGCAGCTGAACCAGCCATGCCATGGCACCAGCCCGTTCGTGCTTGCTTCTCCCACAAGCATGCTGAATTTAATTACTCTAACTCTGATGACCTGCCTAAAGAGAAGCATCCTTCTTCGTGTAATAACATCTCCATCTTGTTAGTTTGAAAGCAGTGTTGCTTTGTAGATTGTAAAAATGGATTTTAATAGCTTTGTAAACACTGCTAGTAAATATGCTTATGTTATTTTAAGTGAATAATAAAAACATGACAGTACCAGTAGGATTCCTTGAAATTTGTTGATTCTTTTTCAAAGGAATTCTTAAGCTTAAAAAGTCTAATTTGGTTGTTGACTCAGTTATTTCTTGGGCCAGGTAGCTTTCTATAGGAAGAGACCTGTTATCACCTCCAGCATACCTAGGAGAAAGTAGGACAAACCTAACTAGTAACCTAACCAGTCCCGGCTAAGGTTACTCTTTCCTGCCTGACAGTCAGTGGTGGTTGAATTGTGTACTGTGTGTCAGTGGCACAGTCTTCTCTCACCTAGCTTGTGTTTTCTTTATCATATCTATAATAGGATGGAAGAGAGTTCCTGCTACTTTTACCTCCAAAGTAGTGGGTCAGCAAGCCAGAGTCTCCAACAAAACAGAAAAAAGTAGTTAGCTGCTGTTAACAATTTTATGTCTGGATGTTGGACAGAAAACAGTTTACATTCCTGGGTCAGGTGCATACAGATGTCAGGCAGTGTTACACAGGGTAGAACTTTTAAGCCTTACCATTTCTTATTGCCTATGGGTTTTTAGTTTTGTTTTTTCAAGTAACTATGTTTAGGAGTTCATTCATTTACTTCTTTACAGGCTGAACATAACTTCTTTTTTTCAAAGTTCCCTGTGTTATGAACTGAGCTTGGGTGAAGTGAAATCTTTGAGGTAAGGCAACCCTAATGGTAAAAATGGAAAGAAAGCCTATAAAAGTTGGTGAGCCTTCAGAGATAAAATTTTAGAGTCATTGCCTAAATATTGAAATGTCACCATTTGCTGTTTGGAGGGATGTGGAGCTAAATTGGGAACAGGAGCACACATCTGCCTTGACTACTAAGTATATCCGTTTCTACTGCTCACCCATAATAGCATTTTTATGTGCGAATTTATATCACAACAATTTAGAGGAGGAGGGAGAGGAAGAGGAGACTTAGTCTGCATTCTTCTGTCCTTCCCTTACATGTTGGAGTTTGTCCCTGGTAGGCTGCAGTGCTTTTTCACTGTTATCACTGTGGTGGCTTTGTTTGTTTGTTTGTTTGTTTGTTTACAAAGGTCATCAGAGAACTGAAAAGACTAAGTTATTTCCTGGTTATACTATCAAGAAAGAAGCCGAATGTTGCTATTTCATTTTATTTTCTTCTGTAAATTAAGATTCAGAGTTAGGGAAGAGATTTTGCCTGTGCCACCGGTGAACATTACTGAACCAAGGCTTTTTAGAGTTCTTCACACTGATGAGGAACTAGAGACAGCATACTCTGCCCTCAGCACCATCAGGAAAGGTAGTTAGTTGTATGTGAGCAGTGTTTCTGGTGGCCAGTGGTTGCCCTGCTTGGCTCTGGCCTGCTCCTGGTGATGTTACTGCTCCTCCTACGTGACTGTCGTCAAGTTACTTTGGGACCCCAAGCACTGTGCTCATTTGCCATCTTTGGCACATGGACACTAAGTTTAAAACCAAGCCCAGTAGCCCAGTTCTTCTTTGCAAACATGAGGTGAGCTGTTTTTGCTTTAGGTAGTTTCAGGCTTTGGGAGACCTCAAAAACCAATTTGCATGGAGGAGTTTGGAGGATGTGAAACAAGTTTGTGTTTCTTCTGCTCTGTTGGCCACTGCTATCTTCATGGATCTGACACTCTATTTATCTGACAGTGCACTTAGTACTGCTTCGCCAGGGAAAATCACACAAAACAAGCCTGGCGCATCAGCACTTTCATTGTGTGCTGGGCTGAGCCTCCCTTCACATGGTCACATCCCCATTTTAATCCAATACTCCCTTTCCCTGCCCCTTCCCCAGTCCTGCCTCTTTCTGTGGCACTTACTGCTGGTTTCCCTGAGCTCCTGTTTCCACTTTGTGTTTTTTGTGGGGCCCAGGAAGCTAAAGCTGAGTGTATTTGTGGATCAGACAAGTGCAGCAAGTTAATATCATTGGCCTCTGAAGGGGAAAGTGAGGTGATGGCTGCGTTTAAGTTGGATTTCCTTCCAGAAATGATGGTGGATCATTGCTCTTTGAGTTCCAGTCCTGTGTAAGTATTTTTGTTGTCTAATTTTTATCATAAGCAGAGAAACTGGGATTTTTGTTTGTTTGTTGTTTGATGAAACTGCTCCCTTTCCTTAGAAGAGGAAAAAATAATTGGATAAGGAAGCTAAATTCTGAATTCTCTCATGCTATTTTCTACTGTAGTCTAATTCTGTCTTACTCCTGCTGAATTTCTTGAGGCTGTACCTAGGTTCTTTGCATAAAGGTGGACTTGATATATGACCAGCAACATCAGCTACAGTATTGGCTCCAGTTCCTTCAGGCTGTAGCATTTTCTCATATGGTAGATTGCAAGGTTATTTTCTAAACTGTAGCTTTATTGCTATGGGTTGGGTGTATAATTTCAGATAATCTTTTAGGAAGGAAGTGGTTTATTTTGATTTTTAATTGCCAAATTCTTGAACTCAGAGAAGAGACCGAATAGGGTGTATTTAGTACTGTCTACAACATTCTGTATTAACATGCAAGTTATAATCCTGGAGCTTGCCCCCCCCCCCCCCAAGTGTAATTGAAGATGCAGCTCAGCACATGATTTTATGAATATCAGCTTGTCTGCTGCCTCCCAAAAAAAGAAAACTAGAACAATCTTGATTGACAATATTCTGAAATAAATTGAATTATGGGAATGAGAAACTTTGTTCATTTGCACTGCTGTGCAAGAACTGCATGATACACAACCAAAGTGCTGGTTTGGCCCTGAGTTGTAGCTGCAAGGAACCTAACTTCAGGACTTTGCAGGGAAGGGACCCATTTACAGCTCCTGATTTCAGTTGATTTAACTAGGCTTCAAAGTATCTTGTAAACTCGGGCAAATGAGCCTTAAGTTACTCAAAGCTAAGAATATGAAATGTTAGACTAGCCCCTAGGTAACAGGTGTGTGTTCAAGCCTTTGAAGTTAGACCTCAGTCTACCCTGGGATTAGGTGTAACAGGTGTGGGTATGCAGATACTTTGTAGAATAGTTTTCAGGGAGGAGGCTCCATGTTAGCACACTTGCTCTGTTGAAATTTATCCTGTGAGGGAGGTTATGGGGGGAAAAGCTGCTATAATCCAAAGTTGTACTTTGGAAATTTATATTTATTAAATAAAAGTTGGAAAAAAAAAAAGAAATTTATCCTGTGCTTCCTCTGTGGTCTCCAGAATAATGGCAATGTAGATGTGTGGGTTTTATGAAATTTTTTAACTTCTAAAGTTTTATTTTAGTACTATGTAACAGGTAAAATGATAATCATTATGAAGACTTTTAATACATAATAAAATTATTCCGTGTTCCAGGATATGTAATCTCTACAAATTGGTCTTTGTGACTTAAATTGCCTTTTTTTTTTTTTTTTTTTTTTTTTTTTTTGACAGGCAGCGTTAGAGAGAGACAGAAAGGTCTTCCTTTTTCCGTTGGTTCACCCCCCCAAGTGGCTGCTACGGCCGGCGCACTGTGCCGATCTGAAGCCAGGAGCCAGGTGCTTCCTCCTGGTCTCCCATGTGGGTGCAGGGCCCAAGGACCTGGGCCATCCTCCACTGCACTCCGGGGCCACAGGAGAGAGCTGGACTGGAAGAGAAGCAACCAGGACAGGATCTGGTGCCCCAACTGGGACTAGAACCCGGGGTGCCGGCGCCGCTGGCGGAGGATTAGCCTAGTGAGCCGTGGCGCCAGCTGACTTAAATTGTCTTTTATTGTAACGCTGTCTTTGTGTTTTGCCACTGCCAGTTTTTATTTTTTAGACACAGCATTTTTCTTAGCCGCTTTTTTCATGTTGAAGACATGAAAGGTTCGAGTAATTCAATATTTTATGTAGTCTGGACCACAGATCACTGCATTAAAGTTACCTGGAACTTAAAAATCTTAATATTCTTATACTAGAGTAGGTCCCAAGGTTCTGTAGTTTAATAAGTAGTGTAGTGTAGAAAGCTGTGTAGTTTTCATGCACACTAAAGTTCTGAACCAGTGTTAATCAGCAAGTGGAATGTCATACCATTTTTTCCAAGTGTACTTGTATTTATTTTAGTTGTAAAGCCAACTGGGTATCAGCTATTGTCCCTGTTTTACAGATGAGAAACATAGTTGAGAGAGCTGTAACTGACTAGCCTGAGGAGAGCTGTTGTCAACTTTGGACCTGGAATGCAAGTTTAATGATACCCTCCATTTCTGCTCCCCAGACCAGCTGCCTCAGCGTCAGGGAGCAGTTACCCATCTACTTTTCCCAATCTTGCAGCTCCCCAGATCCATTCCCATAGGCATCACACACCAAAGATCCAGAAAGGTGCTTGGAAGAAGAAAGTTCTTTCTTTTGGACAGGCAGAGTTAGACAGTGAGAGAGACAGAGAGAAAGTCTTCCTTCCATTGGTTCACCCCGCAAATGGCTGCTACGGCCTGTGCGTTGCGCCGATCTGAAGCCAGGAGCCAGGTGCTTCCTCCTGGGTACTTGGGCCATCCTCCACTGCCTTCCCGGGCCACAGCAGAGAGCTGGACTGGAAGAGGAGCAACTAGGACAGACTCGTGCGTCCCGACCAGGACTAGAACCCGGGGTGCTGGCGCCGCCGGCGGAGGATTAGCCTAGCGAGCCTCAGCGCCAGCCTAGGAAGTTCTTAAGAATGGTCTTGTCAGTTCTTTTTGGATTTTGCTACCCTTTACTTCAGTGGGAGGGTAAATCAGTAATTTTCTGGATGCAGTGGTTTTGCCTGGGGATGTTATCTAAAAATGTACTTTATTTCAAAATTTCTTTACAACAGTGATGAAGTGGTGGAGGAAGTCTGGAGAGGCCAGGGGATCTGGGTCCTACTTTCTATTCTTAGTGTTATCAGTGTCCTTGATTCTCAGATCACTCTTAACCCATTACACCATGGATCTGATACTATTTATTTGTTAAGCTCCCACTGATTCCCCTTAATTTGCTTGTACCCTAGGATATGGGTGTTCTCCAAGGGTTGCGCCTCATCTCTTTGCCTTTAGCTCTCCCATTGTTTAAGGGGAGACTGATGTGATTCTCAGATCTCTGTACTTTTACCCCAAATGTCTCCTGAGTTCTCTGACTTTATGTGGGGGTGTCCAATGAGCTGTTTTAGAATAAAGGCATCTCCATAAACAACATTGCTCTAGAACCCAAGAGTTAATAATAATTTCTTTTTCTTCCTCACCTTAGAGTTCAAGTGAACTCCGAGTATTAATGGAGCATGACCCAGAATTTCTTAGCATTGCCCAAGACTGTGCCCTAATCTTAGGAGCTACTTAATGCAAGAACCTCTTCATCTCCACATTTCCCACACAGTACTTCATCAAAATTTTTGTCAGGTTTTTTTTTTTTTTTTTTTTTTTTTTTTTTTTTTTTTAAATTTCCTTGACAGATTGAATTAGACACAGAGAGAAAGGTCTTCCTTCCATTGGTTCACCCCCAAAATGACTGCCATGGCCGGTGCTGTGCTGATCCAAACCCAGGAACTAGGTGCTTCCTCCTGGTCTCCCATGCGGGTGCAGGGGCCCAAGCACTTGGGCCATCCACCACTGCCCTCCCGGGCCACAGTGCAGAGCTGGACCAGAAGAGGAGCAACCGGGACTAGAACCCAGCGCCCATATGTGATGCTGGTGCTGCAGGCAGCGGATTAACCAAGTGAGCCACAGCGCCGGTTTCCCCCCTCATTTTTT